ATCAGCTTCTCACCCAGCACTAATGCGGGGGGGGAGGCTACTTCCACATTAAGTGGGTAAGGGTGTGAAGCCCACCTCACGTAAACCATACTCACTTCTCAACCATTTTTTTTCTATTTAAACACAAGTGGTTTCAGCTAAATAAAACACACCCAGCTCACAACTTTCGCAACCAGTGAGCGCATCCGGGCAATGCATTTTATTCAGCCTTTTCCGGTATTTGGCTTTGAATACAAGGACCTGTGAAAAAGTAAATAAATGCTACACACTTCTAAACCAAAACATTGATAAATGAGTACCCACAGCTAAACAAAATAAAATGAAATGACACCCCAGTCGGCACATACCCGTATTGTACTTCTATGCAAGTAGCCCCCCCCCCCTCCCCGGGCACTAATGGCCCCATTTATGAATAACTGGTGCATATTCAAAGCAGATTGTAAAAACCGGACCGAGACGGGACGAGTCAAACAAAACCCTTACGTACCAACCCCTAGTTGTTTGGTGATTTTTTAAAAAGGTCAGTGTTTCATATGTTTAAGTATGTTCCATCGAGAAGCTTATTTGGTGAGAGAATTTAGTTGAAAATAACCACTTAAACTCCGAGAACTCGGAAGTGAACCTTTTTACCTACCTGGCGAGTGTTCTCAATGCTTTTTCGTGTCAATCGTTTATATTGCTTGAAAAGCAGCTAAGGCAGAAAGTAAATAGAAACGACATAACCAAATAGGTAAAATTATGTTTATTTTAGCCGCAGTTTAGTTTCGACCTCAATCTATCTTTAGAACAGCGCGGTAATTAGTGCTTTCAAGCTTTTTTTTCGTAAAGTCAACTAAACAATTTTATTTCCGCCTAAATTGTTAATTGATGGTCATTTTCGCGTTGTGTACTCCTCCACGAGTCCCAATTTAAGGGAATTAGAGCCGAATTCAAATTGTATACTGATGAGCATGTGGCTGCAATGGAAACACACTATATGTAGTTAATTGGTAAATTTGCATAATGTTAGGATTCCTATCAATAACAATGTACGAGTTTTTCAGCTTGCTTGACAATTTTTAAATATGAAGAAATAATTTTAACATACAAAATTTGAACTCCTGTTTCCCCAATAATATTGCGATGACTCCAATGTTTGTGTTCATTTTCGGTATCTTAATGACTTTAACCAATCATAATG